AGAGCGACTGGGAAGACCAGCGGGTCTTAGCTCTGTTGTCGCTCTCCGCGTCATCCGTGGCTCGGTCAAGTTGAATCATCTCCAATTTCGATGCCATTTTACTGTACAATTTCTACTGCACATCACACATATGCAGTACGTACACGTCAACGAAGACACCAGAAGAACACCGGCCGGTGGCAGGTCATTACGTGGCCTCTGCTACGCCGAACCGACTGTTCAGTCATTCAGTCATACTTTGTTTTTTTGGACACAGGTCCGTTGTACCTTTTCTTTCCGCATCGATACACCAAACACGGACGCATGAATCATGAAGGGTTCTCTTGTCATGATGTCACGCCGTTGTGTAGTGTAGTCTTCTGCCTGAGAAGCTTCAACCTCTCGCTCTTGTGCAGCAGTTCCTCCATCTGTATACTTCGTAAATTAATCCCTTTTGTCATCAAGCCTCGATTGTTCGAGATACCTAAACATGCGAGTTTTTAGGCCGTCTACGTCAAACTTACCCTTCATCCATTGTACTCTGAACGTTCTCAATACATTTAAGCAGTCTCCTGATGGCCTTCCCCGCCCCCCTTCAACCCCCCACCTCAATCTGACCTTCCCTCCCCCCTCCCCCTTCTCAATTCAGCCTAGTCGTCATGTCCTCTTCAAGCCCATTGTTTTGCTTTGCCCTCGCCCTCCTTGTTTTGCAGACCAAATGCATATGTCCAGACTCACTTCAGATAGCCATCGGTTCTCGCACCACGCCCAACACCATGAACCCGACGTCCGGTGAAGGAATCACCTTCTTGACAATTAATAACGGCAAGTGGATACGAAACTCACTTGCCAATACCTCAATTGTTGGGGAGAACCCGACCTTCATTGCCTACTCTAAACCATTCTTCTACTTTGGCGACGTTGGGAGTCCCGGCCTCCTCCGTGAGCTTAGGGTATCGCCAAAGGCCCCCTTTTTCAGATCAAGATCCATCCGGGCACTTGAAGGAACCGGCGCCCACGTCACTGTTATCAGTGCGACGAGTGATGTCAAAGGAACTGGACGCACTAGAGCCCTGAAGCGCTCTACGACACGAATAGTCGTCTCTGCAGACTATAGAGGGAGCTCGGTGTCGACTTACATTCGCACAAAAGATTCATTCGAGGCCGCAGACGTCTTCAACGTTCCCTTGGAATTGGCTGCTCGAAATCGCGATTCATCACTTTCATCCCAGCAATCCGCACCGCATCCGCACATGGTGCTCAAATACAAGAACGGGGTTATAGTTCCGGATCTGGGCTCTGACCTTGTGTTCTATTTGGGGATATCCAAGAATGGCAAGATTCGTGAAAGATCACGCCTCGAGTTCTCGCCCGGTGATGGACCTCGTCATGCGGCACTCCATCCTAAGTCCGAAACTGTTTACGTTGTAAACGAGATATCTCTCTCTGTAACTGTACTTCGTCCAGTTGGGAAGGATCAATTTGCTATTGCTGGTAGAGAGGAATTGCTTATAAAATCTCCGGGAGAAGGAGAAAAAATCAAAGCAGCAGCTATTCGAGTGTCAGATGATGGCATGTTCTTGTACATTTCGATTAGATACTTGACCGCAGAGAGAGGGACGATTGTAGCTTTCTCTTTAGACCCTGGATCAGGTGAAATCAAGAAAAGGGTTGGGGAATGGTCTGCTCAAGGTTCACACCCACGAGACATCATCATCATCGAGAGCGTCAAGTTTAAGGGCAAGTGCTCTTCGTTCCTCGCCATCGCCAACCGCGATACGGACAATGTTGCGCTAGTTGAGCGTAATGTGACAACTGGGGAGTTGTCGAATGAAGCTGCGGCAAGTACCACCGTTCGAACGCCTGTGTCAGTGCTCATATATGACTGAGACAACTTCGCTCAGAGTAGCAGAACGAGGAAACCTTCGAAAAGCATATGAGAAGAATCACTTCCATGGCTTTGCGTCCCTGTCTATTATAAAGTCTGGGTCAGGTTAAATACCCTCATCGCTAATTTTTCATCGGTATGGGAGACGACCTGAACGAAAGGAGACCCCTAAACAGCCACAATTCTTTCCAAGCATGTATTTCCCGTGCAGAATTACGAACCGATTACTGTTTTGGTGTGGATGGATAAGAGATGTGCTTCGGAGATAATATAATCAGGTAAAAATGTGTCGTCAAGGTGGCTCTACGAAGAGCAAGAATTACTGCAAACAAAGCTCGGTAGGCTGTCATTATGTCGACAGTATTGGGGTAAAGCCTGCCATCTTTCATTGCGAAGTGATTTTAAATGTTATGCTCTAAGTCGTACATTCTGCTGGATCTCTCCCGTAGGTACAGTACTGTTTACGAATGTCTCACCAATGAAAAAGTAATAGAAAAATGTGTCCACAGTTTTGGTTATGTTTCGGAAATCATTCATACTCATACACATTGGAGCCATTCTAATGACAACTGAATACCGTATACAAAAATGACACATATGTCATTTTTTTTGTACATAGTGCAGGTCGGTTTGAAAGAGGAACGCTGTATACCATAATGATGAAAATTGAAAAGGCAGGCAAGACTAAGTTGCTCGCATGGGATAATCAGACCAATAAACAGAGTTGTGGCGTGGAAATAGATATGGTGCCCCCTGCGATAACGAAAGATCAAAAGCGAGTGCAAGCAAGATAGATTAGAAAAACCCAAGTGATGAAATTCTAGAAGAGAACCCGTTTTAGACGGCTCGGCATCCCTCCAAGGCTATTCACGTCACTCTTGTCTCGACGTCGAAATACCAACTTCGATATCTAGTTCTAACTCACCATCGTGATCCATTTAGAGGAGAATCTAGGGGTCTGCTTCTCCTCAGGTGCAATTAACACAAGAGTATAACCCTACTTTTGACTGCTGATTCTCTGATCAACGAGAAATGGTGAAATTGTAAAGTTTGAGGACTGCTGCCGCTCGCGCCGAGTTTTGAGAGCACATCTGGCGCTTTACCGTCCATGAAAATAATGCAACCATGCCGATATTGAGGTATAGGTCGTGGTGGGCGTGGTGCGACGCTCATAAATGAACGAGAAAAAAATAAGGTGCAATGTGTGCCTACAATCAGAGCATGCCATGGCAGATTTTTTGAATACTGTAACTGCTGTTGAAAGAGAACTATGTAATTTGATTATTATTGTCTTGGACGGGTATTTTTCACGAGTGATGCGAGAGGGGCACGTGAGAAGAAAGGGCTGAGTGCTCTGTTTTTTTTTGTAGAGACTGACGACAGTGCAGTATCGTTCGACACTTGGGAAAGGTACCCTTGAAGGGTACTGCGCTTCACATTGCAATACTGTACAAAGCAACGGAAACAGAGTGGTGTGACTCGCCTTCTGCCAATAGAAATCGCGGCACTACAGGCGAGATTGCTCTATTTTGAGTCCGAGGATTTCCGTTGAGGCTGGCTCTTTTCTGACCATGATGCTGGAAAATAAGCTGATGGTGTGGGTTTAAGGTCACGTGATGAGACTTCCTGGGGCGGCCTTTCTCTCTCAAGAAGAGGAAGCCCTTGCAGAGAAGTCAATGCAACATGTTGATAACCGCTTAAGATGGCCTCCGCCGCAAGACAAATATCAAAATGTTATTGAAGTTTAGTTGTTTTCTACGCTCCAATAGCGATACCGCCATCAACACTAAAAGTATGACCTGTGATATAAGCCGAAGAGGGGTCCAAAGCGAGGTACTTGACAAGACCGGCAACCTCCTCGGGCTCACCCAACCTCTTCATAGGGATCATCTCGGCAATTTTTTCTGTAGGTAAGGTTGCGGTCATGTCACTGTTAATAAAGCCTGGGGCGACAGCGTTGACTGTAACTCCTCGCGGGGCGCACTCCCTCGCCGCGCTCATAGTCAGGCCTATGACACCTGCCTTTGCCGCTCCATAGTTAACCTGGCCCGCGTTTCCAATAAGACCAACAACGCTAGCAATGTTGACAATGCGGCCGCTTCTCTGCTTGAGCATGAGCTTCGCAGCTGCCTGTGTGCACATAAACACGCCGGTGAGGTTAAGGTCGATAACCTCCTGCCACTGGCTGGGCTTCATCCTTAGCAAAAGGCCATCCCTTGTAATGCCTGCGTTATTAACCAACACGTCGACGCGACCGAAGGCATCGACTGCGCCCTTGAACAAATTGGCGACTTGATCGGGGTCGCTCATATTGCCGCGGATGGCGACGGCGTCGCCGCCGAGCTGCTTGACCTTTGCGACGGCGTCCTCGGCGGCCTCTGCGGACGAGGCGTAGTTGATGACGACCTTGCAGCCCGCGGCTCCCAGGGCCTCGGCGATGGCGCGGCCGATGCCGCGCGAGGAGCCCGTGACGACGGCGACCTTGGCGTCGTCCGCCACCATGGTCGGCGATCGCGAGGGGGACGTGTGCGCGTGCGGACGCGCGTGGTGCGGGCGCGAGGGGAAGAGCGCGCGCGAGGAGGAAACGCAGGTGGGGCTCGCCGCCAGCCGCGCAGACGGGCGCGACAGCAGCGGAAGCGCAGAAAGGAAGGCCGGGGAGGCGGATCGCGGAGGTGACATCGTGGCGGAGGTGTGGCGGAGGTGTGGCGGAGGTGTGGCGGTTCGTTAGGAGCGTGAGCGAGAGGGTGCGGAGGAGAGAGAGGAGGGCGGGGTTTAGTTAGTAGAGGATTGCCAATCGGAGAGGGCGGGCTTCAGAGGCTGTGAAGAGCATTGATTGTGCATGGTGATTGGAAGGGATCAAACCGAGAGTGCGAGATTGCGACCGGAAAGGAGTGACACGTGGATATGATTGTACGTACACGTGGCATACGGATCGTCCTGTATGCCACGTGTACAATCATGTCCACGTGTCAGGAGCGAGGCGTGGAATGCTTGGGCGATGGCCACGTGTACGGCAGACCGAACGGATCGCGATCTGCTGAACGAGAAACCCTTGTTCTCCAATCGGGCACGTGCGGCTCCCCCAGGTTTTCGAGCTCCGCCCAGTCGCCTGCCGGCACCCCGCCTTCGTTCCGCCCCCACACCTCCGCCTCCCCCTATTTCCCTACTCCGCCACGGCCGCCCACCACAATCTCCGCACAAACTCCTCCCGAACCCTCTCGCGTGCCGTTTCCCCCGTTCCACGACTGGATCCCCTCCGCAACATGGTCGCCTTTGTCCCCACCGTCGCGCCGTCCGTCGCTGCCGCGTCGAGCTCCTTCCTCGCGAGCGCCTCCTCCCTGCGCAATGACCGCCCCGCCGTCCCGCTCGCGCCCGCCCGCCGCATCGCCCCCTCCATGACCATTCTCGACGGCCTGGACACCGTAAACCAGGGCTCGTACGGCTTCTCGCGCTACATCCTCGGCCCGTTCCAGCCGTCCGTCCTCTCCCCCGGCTCGGACGACGGCGAGCGCGAGCTCGTCATCCGCGCCGCCTACCGTCACGTCTTCGGCAACGCCTACATCATGGAGGAGGAGCGCGCCGAGCTCGCTGTCCCCGAGAGCCAGTTCAAGAAGGGCAACCTCTCCGCCAAGGAGTTTGTGCGCGCCGTGGCCAAGTCCTCCGCGTACAAGACGCGCTTCTTCGAGGGCGCGTCCCAATACCGCTTCGTTGAGCTCAACTTCATGCATCTGCTCGGTCGCGCTCCTGATTCCCAGGCAGAGGTAGCGGAGCACATCCGCCGCTACGCTGCTCAGGGCGTCGACGCTGATATCGATAGCTACATTGACTCGGAAGAGTACGCATCCGTCTTCGGCGAGGACAATATTCCCTTCTTGCGCTTCCGCGGCGCGTACACACCCTGCGAGTCGTTCAACAAGCAATGTGCGCTCAAGGGTGGCTGGGCCAACTCGGACAAGGCCATGGGCGGTGCCGCGCTTTCCGGATACAACGGCTCCGACGGCCGCCAATTTTCTCGCAACATTGGTTCCTACGTCACGGGGAAGCCGACGCCGTACGAACATGTTGCCGAGAACACCCCGCTCAAGACGACGGCCCCCAACTGGTACGCAGTGCCCAATCCAGCACTCGCTCCCACCCCCGCCTATGTCAGCGCTGCGGAGGTTCGTGCGTTGCAAAACAAGGTCGCCGATCTTCAGGCTAGCTATGACGCTGAGTTGGCGAAGAAGAATGGCGGTAGCGCCAGGGACCCGCTCTCGCCTTTCAGGTCCATGGTTTCTGACATGGGTCCCTCTCTCGATAGAGGATTTGCCTACTCGGGTGGTGACCGGTTACTTGCAAACCCTTTCGCAAAGCTCTTCGGTGAAGATGAGAGCCCACTCGCGGAAGGTGGATGTAAGTCGTCGGATTACACTCGCTTCCACAAGCAGATGGAGAATGATACTCTTTCTCGCGTCGAAAAGGAACTTGAAGAGACCAAGGCCGAGTTTCGTGTCCTCTCGAAGGCTTTAGATGCCAGCACGCCTATCACTCCTACTATTCAACTGCCAGGTCAGATTGCCGACGCTGTAGCCATCGCCATTGCAGAGGACCCGATCGCGAGTCGCCCCCGCATCAGCACCGCGTCGAGGGCGAAGCCCACGCCAGCTACGCCCAAGGCCGGCCTGAAGATTGGTCCAATCACTGTGCCATCGCTTGGTGGCATCTCCTTGCCTGACTTGCCAACGCCTTCCCTTCCCTCGCTTCCGTTTTTTGGTAAGAAGGATTAGGATCTAATACCAGTGTGACGTTGGTTTGCATATTTTTCCGAAGGAAGATGTGTTTCGGAAGGAGATAAACAGTTGTTTTCAAATAGTATGTGTCGTTTTTTAGAAAAAGCTAACGCCGTATATTTTTTGCTCTGAAAAAGCTACAGTACGGTATACTGTAAGATACAATACGGATGCGCGATCCAAAATACCCAGCTCTTCCCATCAACAATTTGCTTATGCGGTGGAGATGCTCTAACATTACATGTTACGGTATTGCTGGCATTTTTACCTTTGCGCTGCAATGAATAGGGCTAATGATTATCACGGTCATATGTGAAATAGCATAGATGCTGTGTCAGGCTCACCTCAACATGACAGGTATCGGTGTCCGTGAATAATCTTTAGGCTGTTGGCTCTGCCCAAGTAGAGGTCCAAAGAAAAAGCGCCCATGGGGCATATTTGTGGGGCTTGTTGCAGCCGTGGGCTCCGGTGCAACTCTCCGGTACTCTTTTCCAGTAGGTTCAGACAAGACGTCCCCATTGGCAACCCATGTCTCGGGCTTGTCCGGCCATCTCTTTGTCAATAGGGATGAAGGTACCAAAGAAGGGGTGCGCTGCCTTGGCGACTCAGACGAGGGCTCTGTTTTTGCACCATACGAGTAGTAGCGGACCCGTACATCATCCGTTGGCTCCCCGGTCGTTTGCAGGCGAGGCCCAAGGGTGTTTTTTGGAGACTCGGTTGATGCGACATACTCAAAATCATCAAAATCCGACATGGAAGCCTCAAGAAAAGGTTCCGTCCTTAAACTGAGGAGTAGTGTTGAGGCAGGAAGCAGATGCTTCATTGAGACAGGCTCTGGTGGTACGGCTGAGGGGGTAGAGTCAATGTGAGGTGTATTGTTGTAGATACGGTTCATGCGTCCAACTAAGTTCTTCATGCCAGCCATTAAAGGTTTTGTTACGAAAGCCCATATCGCATCTGCAGATGTAGTTGCATGAGGCCCACGTTGCAGTACATTTGTTGCGTCGCTTCCCACGCGATTTTCCGAATAGCTGCGTGTTAAATCTTGATTGTGATGTCGACGTATGGAAGTACTATCTTCAAAAACGCCCCTCATTCTTTCAGCAGTCGTTTCGACGACATTCGAAGGACTATTGTTTAGGGACTTCTCGTGAGTTGGTTTGAACGACGCATCATGACGAATTGGAAAAGCGGTGCTTGAAAATGTAAGTAGCATTGAGGCAAGAACGACAATTTGCAGCTCCATTTTGTGGCGAATGGTCCCTTTTCTTGGATCTATTGACAAACAGATGTGTGCAGAGGCTTGGGCAAAAGGTGTGGAGGAGGTGACCTGTCTTTCTTGCCATTTATAGAAAGCTATTCTATAAAAACAGTTGCTAAAGGGCTTATGGCGGGCAGTTTTGATTTAATCGTCGTTTCATGATGATCAGGTAAGCCATCTTGGAAGGGGACAAGGATGGAGGCGCGACTCTAGAAAGTTGAAAAGATAGTGATGGCAGCTGAATTTGAGTCTTTGTGGCGTCCACTTCACATAAAACATTTGAATGCCATGATACGGGACAAATGACATCTCCATTTTCGCAGACATTAGTCACTGTGCGTCAGGGACCTTCAGCTGAAAAAGGAGAACACAGTACCATCGGAATCTCGCTATCTTTCCTTTGACATTGCTCACAGCTTCTACATGGTCGTGGATGCATTTGCTTGTACGCATATTTGTGCTCCAAGTGTACGGCTTGGTTACCCAAAGGGCATTTCTGGTAGAGCTCGAATCATTCAAACAGACGAGGCGTCCTGTTGGGCGAAAACAGCTAATCTTGACTTAAACATAGAACTACAATTACGAAGGTGATTTCGCACTTGGTAGTATCAGTCTATTTCTCCCCAACTACCATCCGACACATAGCTACAATCTCCGAGTCAGCGGTCTCCTTCTTGAGAAACTCCTTTACTGCCCGTGGCTCGCCGCTGTAAGAGGGGTTGTCGACGAGCATTTCTTGTTCTTCCAGCACAGATGACGCGTACCATTTTCTTAACCGACCGTGTGCCATTCTTTCTAGTATTGCAGGTGGCTTTGGTTTATCGCCAGCTTTTTGCTCGGCAAGAGCTGCTTCTAATAAAATTGAACGCTCTCTTTCTAAATCCTGAGGGGGAATAGAGCCAATGCTGATGTAACTTGGCGCGGCGGCGGCGATATGCATAGCCATCCGCGGGCCCGCTTCATTTAGCGTCCCTCCTTTCAAAGCAACTAGGGCACCAATTCGTCCGCTCCCGATTCCAGCCGAACCGTGTGTGTATCCAAATAATGCCCCCGATGCAGAGTCTAGGGTCATGACGTTAGCTCTCTTCAAAACTATGTTTTCCCCCAGGGATGACACTGCGCCGAGTACCATTTCTTTGTTCTCGTCCTGTTCCAGCAGCTGTTGTGTGTCTAACGATATCATTGTGTTACAATCGGCAACCCGTCCTTTGTTCAACGCAGATTCTGTAAGTCGATTCACGAGCTGCACAAATTGCGGGGTCCTTGCTACAAAGTCGGTTTCAGAATTGACTTCAATAATTGATGCGCGACTCTTGTCTGGTGAGATAGCGATACCGATCAATCCTTCGGAAGCATCCCTGTGTGCTTTCTTTGCTGCGATACTTGCCCCAATCTTGCGCAAGTAAACGATCGCAGCCTCCATATCCCCCTTCTCTTCGTCTAGTGCCTTCTTTACAGCCCCAATTGGTGCACCCGTTCTCTTCCTCAGTTCCTTAATGGCATGCATCGAGGCAGCGCTGTGTCTCTGTTTTGTCGTGTGCAGAGGCCTCGACGTGAAGGTAGGAGATGTGACATGCTGAAGTGATCTTTGCAAGCAAAGGGGTGATAAAGCGTGGCGTATCATTGCGCCTCTTTGCAGTGGTGTGCTGGTTTCAGCGTTGCAAGTCCTCTCGCCCCAAGAGTTAAGGAGATCCGATTAGGGTACGTGAGAAGAAACTGCCGTGAATCAGCTCGAAACAAGAACGCAAGAGTACGTTTTGTAAGATATCCAAAGTTGACTTACGAAAGTTTGCTCTCTACGAAGCGGGACGAAATAAGGAAGAGAGCAACCATCTTCCCTCTCAGACTCTTGAAAGAGGCTTCCCATCTTTTCGATTTCACATGTTCCGATTACTGTACAGAAGCGTAGATTTGATCATTGGGTGATGTTTCCCCCTCATTATAGAAATTTACCGAAAAATCCAGATGCCGGGGGCCCAATCCCAAGCGTCGACATGCGGTCAATGAGCATCCATTAGCTTTCAGATCCCGTGCCGAGGCAACGATTGATCCGGTACGCGGAAGGGTGGTAATGTGACGTGAAACACGTTTAAAGCCCGACTTGAGCTTCGCAACTGTATCAATGCATTTCCCTCAATGACCGTCAGTCCTAGAATTCGACGGCGGTAGTACCGGTGTCGTGGGGGTTGGGGTTATGGAGGTGGAGGCCAGTGGTTGCATTGCAGTCGGGCCCATTTCTCTGATCTTTGAAGCGAAAATCACTCTTTTTGCCTGACGAAGATGACTCGCAGCATCCCCCGTCTCACTGACAGATACAAGCTCCTCGAGGGGAATGAATAATTCTGCAATGGCCGCTAAGCTGGGGAGGAAATGAGTCTGCCCCTGTCCGTTATTCTCTTCTTGCTCAACACTTGCTTGTCCAACCACACCATTACTGCCAATGCTCGCATAACCCATAGAAAGTACAGCCTGTTGAGCTTCATTGCGAAGCGCAGCCAATATCTCTTTCTTCTCCTCCAGGCAGAGCCACGCCTCAAGTTGGACATCGCTAATGTTACTGAACCAAGTGGAAGACGGCTGAGCAGAACCAGGAAGAGTTTGACGGTTGGCCACTCTTCGCAAGCGAATAATCGTGTTCACTCTTTGAATCCTCTCCTTCTCCCGTACGCTGCAGGATTCCATTAGCATCTCTGAGTTATCAAATGCTCGACTCTTTCCGTGTCTAGCGATCAGAGCCGCATTGTATTCATCCGGTAGTATATTTGTTTTGACCCAACTTCGGGCAATACTTTGGGCTGAAGTCTCTTTCCACGTCTCCGACAATATTTCCGCTACATCGAGAAAGTTGGGATCGTCTCCTTCATCTAGGCCTTTGAAAGCCTCAGTCTTGTTTATGCTGAAACCCTGTATCGCCTCGCGGAAAGGTAACAATTCCAATACTCTTTCCAGCATTGCGTACCGATATCGCTGTTTCACGAGGCTCATGATGCCCTGCTCCATGGGATGATGTGTCGCCCTTGAATCCGGTGGTAAGTGAAAGAGTTTGACCTGCCCTCGTTGATCATGTACAATGTTTTCATCAATGACATGCTCCACCAGGAGCGCAACATTCTTCCATGAGTGTTTCCTTATGGCTGGAATGAAAACTTCATTAAACCATTGCTTGAATGTCGGGTTGTCAAACCAAACGTTGGGCTGGGTGAGGTATGGCAAGGGGGATGGTCTGATACGAAAGCACGCAGGCTGCTTTGACTTACCAATTATGGTAATTGGGACTTTCATAGTTCCTGTGGCATTCGCGCAACATACAAGAGCTGCCCTATCATCCAGTCCCATATCCGGTGGGAAAGACATCGCCACACTTTCCTGGCTGTTTCCACCTGAATCCAATAAGTACGAGTCCCGGGGAAGTACTTTGTGGAATATTGATGCATCATATACAGTAAATATGCAGTCAGCATCATATCGCTGCAGTTGATTTTTGAGTGAAACACATTCTGGAGTGGCTGGCGCTTCACTCAAGGATATAGGAATATGCATTAGGCGTGCGGATGCTATGCGAATGTTATGGCGCTTGGCAAATGACCTTATCCAGAAATCAGTCGGCGTAAACTCTCGCAGATCTTTGGCTTCCTCTTCGGAGAGCTGCGAATTGGCAAGCAGTTCCTCTTGTATCTTTCTACTGCAGTCTCGCACGAGCTCGGTCGAGATGAAAACCTTGTTTCTTCGGGATACGTCCAGAACTTCGACAACCTTCGCTTCCAGGGCGGTGTATTTTTGCGAGCTGCCCTGCTTCCTAGACTTCATGGAGCCTTTGACACCGGCTTGGCTTAGACCCCTGATCACGTCGGCCTCTTGCCTCATTCTCAAAATCGCGCGTTTTGAGGAACCGAACTCGTCGGCTACGTCTTGAAGCGCAGCGCCGTTTTCCACCATATCCAGAGCTCTCAGCTTTTCTGCCAAGTTCAATCGTCGGCGTTTAGACTTTCGAGCACTCTGGTTTGCCGCTTGTACCGACTCGGCGCATTGTGTGCATATCCTTGCATTCTCGTCGCCGTTTTCTTCTCCTGGGATGCCGCACGTCGCATGGACAGAACGCTCACATTTCTGGCAATGACTGGCAGCCGTGGGCTCCGAAGGTTGCGAACAGTTCGGATCAGCACATTGCATGGCGCTGCGGGATATATTCATGTTTGGAGTTTCGCGTCTGTTTCGCGCCTGTTTCGCGCCTACAGTATGGTGCTCTTGCCAACGCGTCTGTTGCGAGTTAAAGGGTGAAGTACGAGTGTCACCGATGAGAGCAAAAGTCGTCTCACTCGATGGCGCGAGAGAGCGGAAATCAATACAGCGTCGGAGCACAGTTGGGCGGGATGTCCGTCTGAAACAGAGGTTGGCGCTGTTCGCTACATACCTTCGGACTGAGGTTCAGGCGTCTGAATAGCGCACAAAGGAGCAAAAATTTGTATTTTTTTGTCCAAGCCTTGCGGGTTGTTTTTTGGCGCTCAAAATCGTCTGTAGCGCGCTCTTGGTAAAAGCGTCATACTCTTCATACTGAACTCAGCAAAGTCATCCGCATACTGCGCAGGTCACCATCCTGCCAACCCGAACTCATTTTTGTTTTACAGCGCTGATATCAGGACTGGTTACCTTGGTAGCTACATTTCGCGTATCTCGGAGTGGGTTCCTGAAGATTGTTCACTTCTCCACCATAGCAGCTTGGCACTCTTCGACTAAAGACGGAGCGATTCTCAGGAAGATTCAAACATGGTCCGATTTAAAAATCGATACCTGCTTTGCGCTATTGACACCGAGTATGGGGGTGACCGCGAAATGCTCACGATACAGTCCCGTGAATTGTTATCGGCGGTTCAGGCTTCTCTAGCAACAAACTTTGGTGATCTTGCCGTGGGCCAGTCCATGGCCTCCCTCGCAGTGAAGCTGTGGGCTCCGGCTTTGAATTTATGTATTCTGCGATGTAGCCGGGATTATTTTCGCACCGCTTGGGCTGCAACTTGTTTGATTACTGAACTAATATCCTTGCCACAGCTGGGCAGAGTCCGGTTTTCAGTAATTCACGTAGGTGGAACGATTCGCTCCTGCCAAAAGTCCGCAGCGCAGCATGCGAGGACGATTATCATCGAAAAAAGGGCAGTGCACAAGGATGCAGGAAAGACTGAATCTGCGGCGTCATCAATGATGAACGAAATGCGTGCAATGGAAACATGAACAACACAACATTTCAAATATGAGGGTGCCTATTAACATTGTTTATGAAAAGGCTCGTGAACTACTTTTTCAATTTTCTCGCACGCAGGCCTGGATCCAGAATCTGCTTTCTCATTCGAACACTTTTCGGTGTCACTTCCACTAGTTCGGCTTCCGACACATAACTGATAGCCGTCTCCAAAGAGTATTGCCTATGCGGAGCTAACCGGACATTCTCGTCTTTAGATTGGGTCCGGAAGTTCGTCAGTTGTTTGGCTTTAACGGGGTTCACATCGATATCCATATCTCGATTGTGTTCCCCGATGATCATTCCAGTGTAGACAGGTTCACGAGGCCCAACAAAAAGAACACCGCGTGCTTCCAAGGCTGCTAGAGCATGCCCAGCCGTCATCCCAGAAGCCATAGAAACTAAAACACCCTTTCGCGTCGACACTGATGATTGAGTTGCTTTTCTCGGAGCCCATTCTGCGAAGATGCGGTTCATGATCCCAGTGCCCCTGGTATCTTGAATGAAAATGGGACGGTAGCCCAGCAGCCCTCTTGATGGACACAAGAAGGAGAGTTTTGTTCGGTCACCGAGAACCGGCTTCATGTCAATGAGATTGGCTTGCCTCGCCGAAAGCTTCTCGATTATAGCACCTGTGTGATCGTCATCAACTTCGATATGTAATTCTTCCACGGGTTCCACCAAGTTGCCCTCGTTGTCCAGTTTTGTGAGAATCTTTGGCGGCGAGAGAGCTAATTCGGCCCCTTCACGTCTCAAAGTCTCGACAAGAATACCGAGCTGAAGCTCGCCACGCCCCTTTACTTGTAAGCCATCGGATTCGGCGTCCTTCTCAACTGCAATCGAAACATTGTTTTCAGCCTCGGCGTACAGCCAGTCAGCGAGTTTTTGGGTTGTTAGTACTTCACCCTCCTTTCCGGAAAGGGGAGAATCGTTCACATTGAATGTTATTGAAACAGTGGGCGGGTCGATGGCAGGGGCCCACAAAGGCTTAATCGTTGGAATGGATAGGTTGTTGCAGTCAGCCGCATTTGCTGTCTCTGGAGGAAACGCAATTGTATCTCCGACAGCCATATCCTCGACACCCGCAATGGAAACGATATCCCCGGCCGATGCTACTGGTATGTCCTGCCGTTTCAATCCCCGCGAGGCCATGATCTTTGTGATCTTAGCATTCTTTCGTCGAACCCCGTCTCGACTAACGACATGCACAGGGTCTCCCACTGTTGCAATACCCGAACAAACCCGGCCAGTTGCAATACGGCCAAGGAAGGGGTCGCGACTGAGCATTGTAATAATAAACGAAAACGGCTCGTCCAGAGAAACCTTCGGGCAAGGCACAAGATCGACAATCTTCTCAAGAAGTGGAATCATTCCCATATCCCTCCCAGAATTCGGATCCATAGAAGCCCAACCTTCTTTAGCTGAGGCGTACACGGTTGTGAAATCGAGCTGCTCTTCCGAGGCATCGAGGGAGGCAAAAAGATCGAAAAGATCGCTTTCGACGGCTTCTGGTCTTGCGGATGGCCTATCAATCTTGTTGAGGACTACGATTGGCTTGAGATTGAGGGCCAATGCTTTTGACAGAACGAATTTTGTCTGAGCCATTGGACCTTCGGTGGCATCGACGAGCAAAACGGCGCTGTCAACCATGCCGAGAATGCGCTCTACCTCGCCACCAAAGCTGAAGAGTAATGAAAAAGGTTAGCATGCAGTTTAAAAGAAAGTTTGATAGCGAGAAATGGTGTGATTTGTTCATACTCGCTATGACCTGGGGAATCTACGATGTTGAGGAGATAGTCCTTATACTCGACGGTTGTGACTTTAGACGTAATCGTAATCCCGCGCTCCCGTTCAAGATCTCCGGAATCCATCATGCGATCCTCGCTGACTTCTACGGAACAATCGCGAAGAATTTTGTCGCAAAGAGTAGATTTTCCATGCTGAGAAATGCGGAGAATATTACGCTGCGTTAGTTCTAGTTTAGCAACAATCTTGCACCCAAAAAGCATGCGGTGCATGTTTCAACTCACATCAACATGGGCGATTATTGCAGCATTTCGAAGCAGGGAAGGATTTCGTGCTTCCGTCAATGATGTTGCTACGGATGGCTGAGCGCTTAGAAACCGACGAGTTGTAGCCTGTAGCAACCGCAACGTTCGCAGTTGTGAGAACATCACTTGCATTTTCCATGCAACTGGGAAAACAACAAAGGAATTCCCTCTTGTAAAGGCTCTCTCCGGCCTCTGTAAAAGAGCAATGCAAAAACTCGCATCAGCAGGCAGTTGCAACGCGGTCGGCGCCGGGCTGCTGGTGATGACGTCACAGGCCTTTTAGAGCTCGAATGTGAGGTGGCCCGCTTCTCCTTGTCCGAAGCAAAGTCTTTCCATGCGCCGTGCCATGTAGTGTACACGTTGCAACCCGTGCAGAAGTTCATGCTACGCTCTTCTTCTTTTTCCCGCCAATTTTGAATTAATTCTTGATATATGTGTACTGTACACGAATTTCGAAGCCATCCCCTGCAGAAGAACTTTATGCTCTGCGGGCAATCGGATCAATGGCAAGGTGCTCTTGCTTTATGTCTTCATCGTCCTTGATTTGCCCCTCTGAATCACTGACAACATTCAAGGAAGAAAAAATAAGTTGAACCTGTGTCTCTTCCGCCATTGACTTAAACCGTTTTGCGGAGTCCTTGTAATCGACTCTTTGGGGAAATTCTCTCTTTTTCATCTCGATCCATCAGCACTCCACTGCTCTTGTCGTTATGGTCTGCGTTGCAGCATCCTTCTCTTCCACTTCTGCCTCTCTTCCGGGTGTCCCCACACCACCCCCCAACGTTTGGCCCACCTGGTCAAGCTCCCACCCGTGCTATCTCTCACTCTCACCTTCTCCGTTGGGCCGTCGCGCGGAATGGCGTTCATCGACCACAGTTCACCTATCCCTCGCCACTCCATCAACATGTCTACCCACACTCGCATTCCTTCCCCCAGTTTCTTCCGCGCTCCCTACCTCCCTACCGGACCTTGCACGACTGAAGGCGCAGACAAGTGTCCCGGCTCTCGTCACTGCGGGAGAAGGTACAGTACTTCTCATCGCTGCTCCAGCCGGCGATCTGCATCGCGTCGCTCTGCCGGAAAGAAACGTTCCGACCAACCTGTTTGCGCTGGTGTCAGGCCTCATTGTCGAATGCAATCGATCAAGCAACGACGCCTTTGCGCACCTCTTTTTGAGAGACGCTCTTGCAGAACCTTCACGGCTTAGCTTTCCCTCTCCCGCGCATCGCATCATTTTCGCATCAGTCGATGTGCCGATAATTGTGTCGAGTGATAACCACAAAGTGTTCGTCTGGGCAATTCGCGAAACCGAGTCGACTCCTGACGAATCGATGTGTGAAGTCGAAGATGACCCGTTTGCGGCATTCGTACAGCAAGCAGTAGCCGAAAACATGGAGTCAGAAGAGGACGAGCAGTCCGCTCGAGAACCATTACCTACCGGACCCGTCCCAGTCCTCACGCGGTTGTTCGACATGCCTGTGGTTGTCGGCCAGCCTGTATCTGCGTTTATGGCACACGATTTGAGAGGCAGACTCGTCCTTTGCTTGTGCATTGCGAGCGCCCTCACAGGCTTGGAATTCGCAATTGATGGGATGGATATCGCTGATGTGAAGCCTACGTTCTGCATACGTGACGTTGTCACAGCGGCTCCAGTGCTCACGGTTCGCCGACACCAGAACTGCCTTGATATTCTTGTGAGGCATGGGAATGGAAGTATGAGTCTGTTCATGGGGAGGAATCGGTTGTGTTCAGTACAAGTCGAGCCGCCGCCACCAGAGACTATAGATAGGCGAAAGGAGCACCAGCGGAATTCGAAGGATCTTCGCGTCTGTGATGCGGCAGGGGCAGAGTTTGGTCTGAAGGATGCAAAGGGCTTTGTCGTTCGCTATGAATTGAAAGCCGCGGCGTTTTCATCTCCTCTGGCGAATGCGTGTCTCTCCGCTGTTTCTTTTACGTTTGAGGAGGCAGGTATAATGCTTCGTTTAACAACTTTGTACCATGATATTCTAACTCTGTATGCGCAGCCCCATTTCTCTTCCTTCAAAGGCGGAAACGATCCGGACTGGTCGGCATTTGAGCACGTACTTTTACAGATAACCTCTGATCGAATTCAGTACCAGGATGAACTGTCTGAAGATCGAATGGACTTATCCAGTGAAGACCTGAACGGCACTGACACTTCTGAGGGCACTGATGACGATTGGATATACCTTCTGAACAGCGACTTTCATAGCATTCGCAGCAGATCGCGTTGCCTAGGGCCTTGGCCGCACTGTCCATTTAAGTCCAGTGGCGTAAAGGCCACTGATGTTGACATCATGACGTCTGATCAGGAAACTCATCGCCTTGTTTTGCATGCCCTGCATCTTGTGTATGAGGAACAGAAATTGCGGCCGCTAGCACGAGATTCCGTGATTCGTTTGGCACGTTTGAATGTTCGCCTTGCGATTGCGATTGGTGCCTCTGACTTCATTGACCATTATAGACGGGATCATAGTGCGGTTGAACACTTTCAAAAAAGACAACCGCCCCTCAGCCCGCCACAGGATGCCCTAGTTCCGTGCATTATGACGAATTTACGTGATTTGATAAGAGGGGAATGCGAGGCTCACACTGCCTTTCTCCCCACACTGTCTAACACTTATGAATCCCAATGTCAGCAACTGATGGCATCATGGCAGTCTCAAAGTCCAGCAAGTACGTGCGTTCAACTTGTAAGGTATTTTATCCGATTGTACGGGAAAGCTGAAAGGGGAAAGTCTTTTGAAGAGAAGGCGGAGTCTCTTCTTCTTGCCATGGTCGAAGATAACTTTTGCAAGACAGACCTAGAGGGCCTCCCGGTCGGCGTCGCGCTCCCCCTACAAGACGCATTATTCATTTGTCGAAGAAAACCAAAGGCGACCTGGCCGTACCAAGCTTTTGCTCTTATTGGAAGGGAGGATCTTTTCAACTTCAGCCGCTTCGATTCGGAGAGAGTTACTCGTCCAGGACAGGAGTTTGAAGGTATTAACGAGAGCCGTGCTTTGTTGCAGATACAGGCTGCTGCGACATCGCTCAGACAAAACTTGGATGCTGGGTTACTTGACAGTAGTGATGGGATTCTGACATCTGAGAAGGAACGTTTGTCTCAGGGCTCAGCGGACGAAGATGGTTGTGAGATGGAAACCCATCTATTTCGTCTACGATTCAGTGAAGATCGACGGGGTGAGGAGGTGCGGAGAATGCTTCGGTCGACGGACCCAGTTACAATGACTCCTCCTGCGAATCCATATCCAGATTCTATAATGGAATTTGATATCGCATCTGAGCAGCGGCGAAAACTGGCACGTCTTGTGCGCAAGCGTTACGCTGCTCCAGTAGGGCGAGGTGCATATACCCTAAGGACTTACCTGCCTTCAGATCCAACAAAACCACTGGTGATCCCAAAAATTTGCGTGAGTGGAGTTCTTTTTTCGCAGAAGGGCAGTGTGGTCACTTTGAATGAAGCAGAAGCGAGCGAAGGTCAGTGGGGTGAATTCCACAATGGTGTCGCGGCAGGACTCCGAATTGTGGCAGCTCGCACTGACGACGATAGCGACAACGGTCGGATTCTAACCCGCGCATGGATTGTGAATCACAGACCAACTGCATCTTCTGGGAGCTCTAGTCATGCCGGCATGCTTCTAGCTCTAGGGCTCGGGGGCTATCTACCGGCCCTGCGCACGACAGATTACTACGAATATCTTATACCACGACATGATCTAACGTCCATTGGCCTAATGCTAGGTTTGGCTGCAGGCAATCTTGGTTCCCGACATGATAAGATCACAAAGATGCTCTGCGTGCACATCAAGTACTTCAACGGTCCTGGATTTGCAGTCCCTGATTTCCAGGTATCCATGAACGTTCAAACTGCTGCAATTTTGGGACTAGGTATGTTGCATCAAGGAGCCGGTGAGCATCTCATAGTTGAAGGCCTATTCTCCGAACTTGGTCGGCGGCCAAAACCAGGTGACAATGTTGATGACAGGGAAAGTCTTGCACTAGCTGCGGGTATATCAATTGGACTCCTTCATCTCGGCAGTGGTTCATCTGCATTCGATGCTGCCGACGAGCGTCTTATCGACCGTCTAGTTCTCTATGCAAATGGGGGACCAGGGGGTAGCGTGGATGACATGTCAAACCAGATGGAAGCCATCGCACTCAAGGGTGGCGTCGGGAATGGCCCTGAACGTCCGAATTCGGCTGAGGCTGATTCTGAAGCGTCACGGGTAAAAGAAAGCAATTTCGTCAACACAGATGTTGTTTCACCTGGAGCACTGCTTGCATTGGCACTGGTATACTTAAAGACAAACGAAAGACGACTAGCCGACAGGATCGTACTGCCAGACTCCCTATATAATTTGGACAGAGCCCGACCTGATCACGTGTTTCTGCGAGTACTGGCTAAGTCGCTCATTATGTGGGACGATATTTCGGCAACTCAGGAATGGATTCTAAGAATAATTCCAGAGCTGATCAGACCAGTGAGTAACGGTGACTCTATTGACTTGCTCGGAGAGATTGCTATTGGAAGCACGTATACAGAAGTTGACATTGACGTACCCGGCATCATTGATGCACGAGCTTTCGCGACAGCTGGGGCGTGCGCTGCCATCGCCCTCAAATATGCTGGCACCAATCATCCTCTTGCAATCAATCTGTTGTACGACATGTGCGAGACGTTTGAGAGAGCACTGCTGCAACAGGAAACTCAGCATGAACCAGTGACATGGGTGTTCATGACGTGCCTGTTTTCAATGGCACTCTCGCTTGCAGTCATTGTTTCAGGTAGTGGAAATTTGAGAGTACTACGTCTCTTCCGCAGGTTACGAAAGCGTCAAGGCCGTCCAGCTGGAAGCAGTAGGTATGGATACCATCTCGCGATACACATGGCCATCGGCTTTCTGTTCATGGGAGGAGGATGCCAGACGTTCGGCACAAGTAACATCGCGATCGCTGGGTTGTTGTGTGCCATATACCCCCGCTTCCCAGAAGACGTGAAGGACAACCAATTTCATTTACAAGCATTCCGACATTTATATGTTTTGGCGGTGGAACCTCGTTGCATTGAAACTCGGGACGTAGACACTGGGAAGCCTTGTTGCGTGGACGTCGAAATTGAACTGAAAGAAGGTCACAAATTGAAAACGAAAGCGCCCTGCATAGTCCCTGAAGCCGGGACTGTGAAACAAGTTTCAGTTGTAAGTGAGCGATACTGGCCAACAACAACTCAAGTCATTCCCCCAATTCCCGGCTATGGGTGGTTTTCGAACACACAGAGCCAGGTTCTCTTCGTGAAAAGAAGAACCGGTCATCTCCCATATATTTCGGATCCGAAGGGATCAAAGGGAATTGCTGCAAGGTCTTTGTCCCGTAGTTGGTCAGGCAAGAGCGACTCAAATTCTCATTTTGATCAAGTAGATCATTTGGTTCAGGCATTCAGTGCTGATGCCGAGTTGCAAGCCTTCGTGACCCATTTTTGCAGTCCCTTGAAGAATTCTGAGCAATACTATACAGCAGAGAAACTCGAGGAAGACAGGGCCCGACGTCACGTGGAATGGATGTTTGAATGCTTGTCGAACGACAAGGCTGACGCAGTGAGGTTGTACATGAATGCCGAGCGCGCTTCAACCGCAGTTCTTGAAGGCCATGCGAACCCTTCTCACGTCGGAAGCCTAATGCTCCTGAAATCTTACATTTACTCTTCTCAATTGCCGAGTACGCCACTATTGCAACCTGCCTACCTGGCGAAGCTCATTCATGCAATCCACGCCACTTTGAACACAACCACTATGCAAGAAAGGATATTGAAGTATATTTGGAGCAAAGGGAGGATGTGGCCAGGTGCGGAAGAAAGAAATGGAAATTTGCGAAGATTGGATTTAGATTTTGGCATTGCTCTTCGAATGGAAGAAGTCCCATGTCCCAAAGGGTTGCCACCCCTTTCTGCAGCTCTGCAGCTAGCAACCTCGGACAGAGCAACCGCAGGAGATCATTGGCTGTGCTTTGCAGATGAACATAGGAGCACTGCTAGTATCACAGCAATAGAATGTATAGTTGCTGCTCTGGATGGGCGAGGTCTAGACGACCACGTTATTTAACGTAACTATAACATTGATTTACTGCAGAGTCTGGCTGCCTCACGCCTTCACCTCACTGCATGTTGTAACGATTTGTATCGCCGCGCGAAAACGGCTGAGTTTATGTTGGAGAGTCACACTACTTGCGACGCTCCATAACTCTGCACCGCATCAACGTAGCAGAGCAACTTAACTGTATAATATATGAAGTCAAACCCTCAAAATATCTATTCTTAACAGCTCTCGACCATACAATTGGTCTGTGCTGCACTCTCTCCTGGTACAGCTCCAGAGCGCAAGCTGCAAGATATATAGAATCTAGTCATTTTCGAAATGTTGCTGCTACTCTGGTCTCGTTCAATTAAAACCAGTTGTATTATGCTCTTTGTTGGATGCTGTCCAAGTCTGAGCTGACGGCAAACAGATCCCTTTATTTGTGAGCTTGAATTTTTGCGAACACAGAGATCTTATGTTCAGAAAGCACTCTAACAACTTTTTGCACTGCCTAATGCTTAGGTCATGTGTCCACGAACAATACATTGTAGGCTTTTTCAGAGGTCTGCACACTTGAGACTTACTTGTATTGAATATACTCTTGTGAGGTGTCTCACGGACCCAACAGAGGGTAGCCCACTATTCGAGCGATTCGTGCCCTGCAATACTTTTTACATTCTGACGGATAGGGTATCTATACGGTTAGAAGATATATCCGATGAATAATCATGCAGCCGTTTATTAGAACAATCTTCTTCTATTGCTTAGGAACCGTAACCGAAGGCAAGTGACTCACCCTGTCCTCGTAGCGAACTTTATTCATATCCAGTCGGCAAGAACTGGTTTCAAATATGCAATCCATGAAGAAGACAGAGTCCGAAAGAAATGTAGCCTTACAGAACTAGAAATTGCTCTTCATCCTTTTGATTTTCGCGGACGCCACTGAACAAATACATATTAATCAGGAACAAATTCTAACGGCCAATTCGAGTTTTTCTAACCGTTGTCCAAAATAACAAACTTTCTTTCAAACTGTAAGACTATATGCTGTTTGTCTAACTGATGCCTCCAAGTAGACGTCTTCCAAGAGCACGATGTCAGCAGCCAACAGAGACATGAGACATTAATATACGTCTTTCGTAGCAACGTTTCTTTAGAAACTTCTACGCCAAGGCCAAGAGCGCAGCGAGAGACTACGGAAAATCAGGCCCTTCCGCCAATAAATTTTTGGAGAATTTCCAATCTCGTCATTTAATGCCCTTTGAGCATCTTGTGCGGAAATAAAGGGCTTTACTGTAGAGGGCGGCAGCAAGATCCGCTCAGCTTTTACGATTGCCAGAACCACCCCGAATAGTGCCGACGAAAGCACAGACGCGTGAGGTTGAGGCAAAGAGATTCTCAATGCAATCGCTGAGGCGATCTCTGGTCCAGCCAAGTCTGTATGTGAGGAGCAAGGCATGTTGCGGTCCGGGCCTTCAGCGATTTTTCGCCACTGGAGATCAAGGCGAACGACCACCTTCTTCAGGTTCTTTGGACAGGCGTGAAAATGACCGTGAAAGCCTATTCAGTAGAGAGAATACCGAGTATGTTTAAACATCGCTCATTTTTGTCGCCAGATCATCCTCGAAGCATGGCATGATGCAACCACCCCGCGCGCGATACTGGCGCTCTTTGCGACTAACCACACGCTACTTGCAAAACAATCTGCGTCGGGAATTATGCAGAGGTATTGCGCCGGGCGAGCTTTCCCGAATGCGCGTAGCGTATGGCCTACTGAAAGAACATGTTGAGGCTCTTGAACAGGACTTCGATGGGGTTGATCCTCACACAAACCCTCTACTTGACCCCCGAAGCGTGCGTTGATCGAATCATTTTCCGGGGAGCGGCGTCGAGCACATTTAGTCTCAATACTCGGGGCGAACACGCCTTCGGCTTCTAACGCTGATGTGAAATTATGTCTTTTTCTATACTATTGGCGAATTCTACTAACCGAATATGCGGTACTTAGTTCGACGTCAGAAAAATGCCAAAGCTGCCGAAGGAAGTGCTTGAACAATTCCGGCGCGATCTCCCCGCCGAAGTAGCGAGCTCCAGCCGCCCGGTATCGACGCGCGGGATCTGGGATGCACTGAGCAGCAGCAGCGGGGCGGCCGGCGCGATGAGCCCGGAGCTGCACGACGAGAACGCGGCAGAGTGGGCCGTGGTGGACGAGCGGACGATGGACTCACAGCAATTTTCGCGTATGCAACGGCAGTCGTTCCGGAGCACGGTGGACGTGCCGTTTCGCGCAGACCCTCTATCGGCCGTGCGCAGGAAAAGGAAGAAGAAGAGCTGCCCGTTGCAGGATGAGCGCGGGCGCGTCAAGGTGGACTTTCGGGCCGGAGGGACGCTCAGGCCTTATCTGACGGAGGGTGGGAAGATCATCCCGAAGAGGAAGAGTGGACTTTCGGCGAAGGCGCAGAGGAAGCTGTCGAAGGCTATTAAGACGGCTCGGACAATGGCGATTATTGCGCGGGAACCGAGGGGGACTTTGACGTACGAGGAATTGGTGGAACTTGAGAAGACTTTGTGATCGGTTACGGTGGCACGGCGCAAACGAGGACAGAAATTTGTGCGGCACGTCGCACTGACAGATGAGTCGACAGGCGAATAGAATATTTTTTGCCCATATTTTTTTTGCGGAGATGAGGTTGTCGACTGATTGATGACAGCGTGGCCGCTATGAGCCTTAGTTGTGGGATCAAAGTAAGACCCAGCACGGTTGCCTGCGACGGCTTCATGAAGCAGCAGCAACACGGCCGGTGAATCAAAGGTGAGAACAGATTTCTCAGTTAAAGAAGCTTTTACAAGAAACCCCTACTACGCTCAACGATGGTCAATCGAACCCACTCCACGACGACTAGAAATACAGCACTCAGTGCGGCAGCGAGTAAAATATAGTGCATGCCACAATAGATCCAGACACGGCGACGGCGAACAAAAGCGCTACCACAATGATCGTGCTCACGAGGCGCATGACCCCAACATGCGAAACCCTCTCAGTAAGTACAGCGTTCAAGAATGGATGAGCGCTAATCGTGATGATGATACAGATGTAAAAAAAGTGATAGTGAAAGAAAAGAAAGGAAGCCTATGGTAGCGTGGAATTGGTCAAATGGTGAGATCAATAAGAGTTGCAGCGATTCCAGTGACGGCCTGATGAAATTGAGGAGCGGGAGAAAGGGGCGACATCGGCTTGTTCGCCTCAAACGAGTTGGTATTGGCATTGGGCGCGGACACCTTGGCATGGATGTCAGTGTCAACCCGGCGCGAGAGTAAGTTTTGTTCTGAAATGGGGGCACGGCGAACGCAGCGCTTGAGAGCGCAAGGGTCCGATGACTGAAAATGTTGACAAATAAGAAGTGAAAATTCGTGGTGAGCCTTGTCCTGGTCGCGGGTGTTGAGCAGCGGGTCGTGCCTCGAGGGAGCATCTCGCGGCAAGCGGGCGAGAGAGTCAAGACGGGCGAGGTCGTCCTTGGACCAGATGTAGGCGCGGCAGCGGACGAGAGAGCCTCGACGACGGCGCAGCGGGTTGGCAGGGGCGAGACGTCGCTTGCAGATGGGGCCGGCATCGCTTACGCCGCTGTGCAAGGCCATGGCGGGGGGATTATGGTTGGGGAGGACGGCCTGTGTCGTAGGCGACGGTGAGGGTGGAGGCCGTGACGAAGCGGGGGAGCATGCGGGAGCGGGGGCGCGAGAGTGGGGGCGCCTCGATTGGGCGCTGAGGGGTAGACCGGCGGGAGCGAGGGCAAGCTGGGGAGAGGGGCGGTGGAGGCGGGTGTGCAAGTGGGCCGGAAGT